AGTGCTGCCACAGTCGTCACCGGCCCACCCTAACGGCGAACCTGTCGCATCGGCCCGGCCCCCTCCGCTGCACTGTGTAGCTCCAGGCACAAGGGCTGACCGTTGGGTGGCTGTCGCGGGGTGACTCTTGGCTCCCCCTTATGAGGGGACAGCGGTTGTGTTTTGTGGAGCCGCTTCCCTTACCTCTTCCCGTGTTGCGAGGCATAGCTCTGGCCAGGTTGGTGAGGCTCTTTGTATTTCTCTGCTGAAGCAGAAGTGCTGGTTAAGGTACCTCAGCTTTTCAGAAGAGAGTCAGAAATCTGTATCCCTTATGCTCTATCCTTGGGACTCCACTTTTCATTCTCTCCCTCGCTTCATCTTCTGCCTTCTAAGATGTGTGCTGGAAACCTGACTCACTGTTTTTTTGCATGAACAGGTGCTGTAGATGAGGTTTAGAATATTCTGGAGGGGAGGAAAAGAAGCTTTAGTGTAAAAGCACATCTGCTGTTACCACTAGGATAAGTAGCCAGCTGGAGTTTGTGCTGAGTTTTAAAAGATGTGAAAAACTAAGCCACCAGGTATCTTGAGTACAGTTGTTTGGAGTCTGAGGAATGATGCTAGTATACACTGTAGGTTTTGTTTTTAAAACAAGCTGTGAGAACCCCGACTCTGTTATCTTGGGCTTTAGGGGCAGGTTTCAACTTCAAGAGAACCAAAGACAAGGAGATAAATATCCAGCCTAATCCACCTGAGTGCTGAGGACGAAAGTGCCCCTGCTAACCTTATAGATGACCAGCCCAGTCAGACAAACATAAAGGAAAAGAATTAATTTCGTACTTCCCTTTTTTGTTTTTGTGATTTTTCCTAACTTGTTTATTCTTGGCATTTTTACTTCAAGAAAGAGTCAAATGTTTTCTATAATAGGTGGTTGCATGCTAAAGTCCACAGAACAATGACTACTGAGCTAATCAGGCAAAAGTAAGCAGCTAGTAATGTAGCACACAGTATTGCTTTTTGTCAGTCTCGCTTCTGATTTTCTGTTTTCTGTATCAGCCAATAGCGTCTGAGAGAGTGTATAACCAATTGCACCTGTGGTTGACTGCCCTAGAGCCTCAGAAGAACTATCAGGTAATTCTTGATAGTAATTTTAATCCTACTCTGCGTAGAACAGTGATTTCTATGTTTTTGTTTTTATTTGTTATCTTAGTTACGCCTTTAATAGTTTATCTTAACATTTGTTTCAGAAAATATGTTTCCATTATAACATCGCTGTGAAACTGAACAAGCTGCTTTTAAAGGAAAATTGGACCCAAGGTAAGGACTTTAGGTATAGCTCAACTATAAGTTGAGCTGTCTTAAAAGGAGCTGCTTAATCCATGTGAAGATTTGAGCACCCTGAATCAAACCTTTAATTTTCTGTGTATATTTATGAGTGTTAATAGCTACTGAATAGTACTGATAGCAGACAGCAAATACAACTGAATGGGTATGTCCCATAATATGGACAGGAAAACATGGAGAAAGAGGGTTTAGATGTTTCTTTGTAGCCCTGAATTATGGATTTGGGATTTGGAAACCAAACCTTTCATAGGGTTATGTGCCACTGGAGTAGAAAGGAAAAGAAAATGAAAGGAGCCACCTTTGTGTAACAGCTTAGCAATCAGTCATGAATATACTTTATTTTGGACTGGTTTAGAAATCCTCATCTAGGACAATTAACCTGCTACCCCCCATCACCCAAGGATGGACAGAGAAATTCCTTTCTTCTGTTGAAGAATGGCAACCATTCCCTATGAACTGCAGAGTTCCAGGGTCCAGGCACAGAATTAAGAGAACGCCTTACTCAGTTTCATTATGCTGAAGATGTCTGGTGCTAAATTATATTCTTCCCACAGAAAAGATACTATCTGACAACCTTCATCTTGCATTACTTCTGCAAGCACTTACACATGTTAAGAATATTATGCATGGTGTGGTACTTGTATAAAAATGTGTAAGTGCTTATTGGAGTAATGCTCTAAGACCTGGTGTGGAAGTGTGTGCAAGTCTTTTTGTAAGCTCCATTGCTGAATATGTGTATATATTTTGCAAACTAAAATTTACACAAATCATTTATATTCTAAACTATTTCTATTTCTCAGTAATCAGATATTCATTGAAAGCATTCATATTTTTAAAAATAATTTGTTATACAGAAAGATGTCCACGAAATGTAATTGTATGGTAAAATATTTTGTAAAAATCTTTCTGTAATTGTCTTTACCTTGACATTTGTAACCTATCATAAAATGTATATCAGTATTTGTTATAATAAGGACTTTAGGAGACTATTAGTTTTTTAGGTTTTATTACCCTGCTCTTCCTTCCCATCTTTTTGAAAAGGCAGACTTAAAATCTGGATTGTTATAAATGCAAGTTGGTTGGTTGGTTTGTTTGTTTTTCAAATTTCAGTTTTCAGAATGGAGAAAGCAAAAAAAAAATAAAAAAAGTTCAAGCACTGGAGAAGGTGCTAGGCACAGTCTTGCTGCCAGAAGTAGTGCTGGACCTAATCTTGCTGCACAGAGTTCTGTGACTTTTCCTCTTACCCCAGAAGATGTTGCATCCGCTCACCAGAGTCGAAACTTAACGAGCCTTTCCTCTTCCCGAGAATCTCTTCCTATTGGAAGCTGAAAGTTTTCTAGGTTTTGCCAGAGCACTGGTGGCGTTCTCTCCTTGCAAGAAATTTATAATGAAAAACAGGTTTAGTATTCAATCTTAAGCCTTGAAATAGATTTCTCGTTCTCTTCTCAGATTATTAAAGTTGCTATTAATTGTTTGGGTTTTTTTTTCTTTCCTTTTTGTTTATACTCAGTTCTTTTATTAAATTATTCCTGGTAGAAAGTAAATGAGTCCTTGTTTTCAATGCTTGCCGTAGTTTAAGACCTTATTTTAAAGTAACACAGGAAGGAAGCAGGAGATATTAACTGTAAAATTTACACTGAAGTAAAGCTGTACCCAGCTTAGTTCCTGCAAATATTTGCCCACTCTAGATACTTTAGTTTTAAATTGATTTTGTGACCTTTCTCTATTAATATAATAAATTGAAATACTGATTGTGAAAAATAAAACCAGTTAATATGGCATACAAATATCTTAAAATCCAGCTGTAGTATACTTAAAGTTTGTTTTTCTTTGACATACCCTCAGAGTTGACTTTATACTTTATAATAATTCTTAATAA